GTGTCCAAGCTGCCCGACGCCAAGTCCAAAATCACGTCTGTCCACAGCTCTCCTTCTGGTGAGTCCTCCGGGTTCCCAGCATGCACAGCGTCCCCCACGAGCTTCCCAGATAGGAGGAGACCTCGGGCTGTTCAATCCTGTTTCTCTTACAGCGTCTCTAACTTGTCTGGACCCTGCGTGAGAGCTCTTGACACCCAGTTCGATCTGATACTCCGTGTGTTTCTGTGGCCTGGAAAAGCTGTAAATGGACATTAGTGTAAACCTGCTGTGTTTGCAGAAGAACACACTCGCTGTAACGGTCCTTTTTTAAAAGGCTGCTTGTTTCACGCAGAGGGACCCCGGGCAACCCCTGACGCAGAGACAGCGCTGCTGCCAGAGCTCTTGGGTACTGTACTGCACGTCCCGGGCCGTCTGAGCTCTGTGTGTGCTGTGTTCTGTCCTGTCCTGGGCCACGCCCTGAGAACTGGGCCCTTCCTCATTGGTGCTGGTCCCCAGTCTGTCTGGGCCTGTCTGTAGGTCCCTGCTGAGGAGCCTGGGTTTTTCCACAGCCTCCCATGTGCTGCAGATGGGTTTACACTACCCACAGGTTTTTCAAGTGAGCAACATCAGTGCAGAGTTACAGCCGAACAGTTCTTGGTTTCTTTTTCTCATTATCTGTTATTTATTTCATCCCTCACTTTTAATATTGCTCAAAATTAATGCAGTATTTACAGTTCATATCACAGTACTGAGCTGAGCAGCTCTGCAGTGGCTGAACCGCTTGATGGGTTTGCGCAGGGTGCCCCCTAGTGGACACACATTGGAAAATATTTGTTTTTATCTATCCCTCTTCGTGGAATATTAAAGGGGAACTTCAAGGCTGTTTTCATTTTTCAAGGTTAGAAAGAATTAGCATTAATAAGTGCATTTCAAACCACAATAAAAGTAAAATGTGCGCTGTAACTTAAAAAACCTTTACATCACAAAATGGACAAAATTTCCAGGCGTGCGCAGCGTCATGCTCTGTGATTTAGAATGAGGCATCTTTTTCAATCTAATAGACATATTGCTTTTGATTTTGCAGACAAATACTGCTTACTTGCTGGGAAATGTCTGCTGCAGAACCTGTACTTATTCGCTCTACATCGCAGTACACTAGTCATTACAGTGACTAGTGAGCAGGAAGGGCCGCATCATGTCGCAATTCTGGAGAACTCGAATGCGTGTTGCGACAACATGGCGACTTACAGTGCTTTCACAAAGTTCAGGGCTTTGAGCTTCATTCGGAATTAAATTATTTCTATAACGTCAATGAATGTATTTTGTTACTAAGATTTAATAACCGGTCTGAGAAATTGAGAGTGCAGTTCCTCTTTAATTTTTCCTGGTCTTCATTCCGCATGATCGCTCTCTTTATTATTTGGGTAAAAATATGATTTAACTTTTTTCACAGTTTCCTGACTCAGCCCTCGCTCTCGGAAACCTCTGCTGTAAGGGCGGTCTGGGTGTCCTGCTCAGAGCGCACAGGCGGGAAGGGCTTTGGGGACGAGGGGTGTGGTGTTAAAGACAGTGTGTTTTCAGCTTCTTGCAAGAGGCCGTTTTTGCTGCCTTTTAATTTTTGCCTGCTCTGTATTTTGTCTCAGCCAACGCCCGGTGGAGACGCTTTGCTCCTGAGTACGCCTCGACCTCGGAGGACGAGTTTGGGTCGAACCGCAACTCCCCGAAGCACGGCCGTCTGCGCACCGGCGCCGCCCTGCGCGGGACGCGGCTGCAGGGCTCCGCCCCTCCCAGCCCCGGGGGCGTGGTGCTGAAGCACCGGATGAGGGAGCAGGAGGAGTACATCCGGGACTGGACCGCCCACAGCGAGGAGATCGCCAGGTATTCATCTATTCCCGCTCGCCCACTGGGGGGGCGCTGTCTCTGCACCAGCGCAACGCCATCGCAAGGAGAAAGCATTCCCATTAACTGTACACTGAGAGGCAGCGAAAGGGCGTGGAATGAGTATTGGAAGCAGTAACACAGCAGGATCTTAGAGCAGAATAGTCAGAGGAGGACTCGGTAAAATAACAAATTCTTGTTAATTGGATCAGATAGTATTGGTTTTGCTAAAAAATCTCGTGGGATTTATATATTCTGGCCTCAGCATGACTTAATTTTGAGTGAAGAATCCACTAGCACTGTTGGAATGCACTGCTGTGTGCTTACCACCAGATGGCAGGATGTATCCAGCGGCACACAGGCCTTGCCGTGCTCCTGGCTCACTTGACTTGGCAGTCATTTTGTTTCTCTGGGCGTCGGGGAACAGAAAGCAGGAGCAGGTCTCCAAGACAGGAATCTGGGTGACTGTGTAATACCTTTGCAGATGTCATATCCCCCCTGCTGGGCTACTGTTAGGGTGGCAGTATCACTCCATAATCCCTGGCACACTTTGAGACAGAATCTAGCACAGATGTTGATTTCTGTCCATCCAAGAAAAAATGAAAAACAAAAAAAATCTTTAGAAAAGTGCATTCTTAGATCGATTAGTGGGATTGTGGCTTGGGCCACTGAAAGAAACAACCTACTGTATGACACAGGACCTAATTCACAGTGCCTGTTATGCATGAATTATTTTTTGAGGTTGTTCATTTTCTTTTTTTGCTTTTACACAAGGGGATCACTACAAATACCCAAGTAATTTTGCAGAAGCTATATGAATAGTAGTTATAATTTTTTACTTTAAGTACCTTCTATAAATTACACAGCACTGTATCAGGAAGTAGATTAGTGAAGACTAAACACAGGAGGTGAACAGGTAGACGTGTAGCATTGTGTTAGACTAGAAATGGTTTTCTTTAGGCTGAGCAAAAGCCGTGCTCTGCTCTGAGCAGAGTTATCCAGCTGGTGCTAGTGCCAGGCTGCTACTGTGGGCTTCCAGCAGGAATGCAGTGACGCCAGTGATGTCTGCTGAAAATCCAACGATGATTATTAGACGTGCATGCCTTTGAATGTTGCTGTGTGAGTTGTGTGCATGTGGTGCTACAAGGCCGACGCAAAGGCCGTGTGGCTGAAGTACCCCCCCCTCCCAAAGTTGAGGAACCCCGTCTGATGTGTAATAGGTTATTTCCCTGTGTGCGCAGGATCAGCCAAGACCTGGCCAAGGACCTGGCCATCCTGGCCCGGGAGATCCACGACGTGGCGGGAGAGATCGACTCGGTCAGCTCGTCCGGCACCGCGCCCAGCACCACAGTAAGCACTGCGGCCACCACCCCCGGCTCCGCCATTGACACCAGGGAAGAGGTAGGGCCACCTCTGGAAGGCATGACCAAGGTTCTTTCCTCTTCTTTCCTCCTTTGCACCTGCTGTGCATGATCCCCTTTGCTTTGCTTCTGGAGCAGTTTAGAGAAGCTGAGCTGCACCCTGCCTGTCACAAGCACATGGTACCCCTCTTCACCCCCTGTCTCTCTCCAGCATTTCAGGAGAGGTCAGCACATTTCTCTGCATCTGTGCATCTTATAGTTCAAGATTATAAAAGGGATAATACGTTAATTTAATTACTAATTAATTTGTCTGATGGTATTATTCAGAGCGACTTAAATTGCTCCCATTCATGGGTATTTTACCTGGAACAGGTTGAGCACAGTGTCTCACCTGGGACTTGAACCCACAACATTCCAGTTACAAGTCCAGAGTGCTGGCCGCTGTTCCACACTGCTGCCCCTTAAGATCAAACAAAATAGGAATTGTGGTGAAACTGAATTTGCAATCCAGTGACTGGTCAAGAATGGGTGTCTGCGGAGGTGACTGTGAAGATGGGTAACATGTTACACTTAAACTGTGCACAACTCAAAAAAACTTAAAGTGTCGTTTCAGACCGTCTGCTTACAAACTTCACAATGTACTGAAAATGAGGTCGAGTTTTATATAAGACCAATAACACGAAGCTGAACGGAATGGATTTTGAGAATATCTAGAAGAAGTGTGGACATTCCAGCAATGTGATGAGCACTTGGCCCACTGAGTTTGTCCAGTATCCGTGGAGCAAACTGGGGTAAAATGTATTGCAACTGACAAACAAATATATTTCTCAGACCGGTGCAATCTGCAATCAGAACACCATCGGAGAGGAGTCCTGCAAGCACCTGACTGCATGAGCAAGGCCTCATGGGCCGCAGGACTAGCCGAGCTGCCGGTTCTCACCTGTAGATGGAGCTGTTCTATTGGTGCTCTTGATAGTCTTTGATTTTCCTTAGTGTTGTTGACCATTTGTGTGCTGTTTTACAGCCATTCACCCTTTGGCTGTTCTAGTCTCTCTTTGATTTGTGCACAAGTATCCCAATGCTCTGAAATAGGAAACCCATTTTTAGAACACTAATTTCATTTGTCATCTGCATTTATATTTTATTTCAATTTTCTCTCTACTTTGCTGTGGAATAATTCCTTCCAACAGCAGCTGGTTGTCCACTGAGACACTGAGAGCGTCATCAGAAACTGTTCCAGCTCTTTCTTCTTCATCCTGCATTGCCATGCTTCAGTAAATGGGTATTTTATCGCAGACAAAGGTTGGTGATTACTTAGCAAAACAGAAGTGTAGATGGAGGGTTTTTGGGCAAGTGTTTTTTAAAAGTTAGGACAAGTTTTGGTAAGCTTTCAACTTTACAAAAAAAGTAATGTTACATTACAAGAGGCTCCATTCTTCCATATCCTGAGCTATTATTAGCTTTTCCCCAAGACTGGACTAACACCCTGTGATCAGCAGAAATAGAATCACCTGCCCTGAAAATCAAGAGATCATTATTAGAGTTGATTTGTGACAACCATGTGCTCAGGACTTTCACCAGAAATAGAGTATGTGAGCATGCTCTGTGATGGACTGCCAGGACGGTGACTGGCGAATGGAATGTGTTTTCACTCTGTCGCCATGAGCAAAGGGCCTGTCCATACACAGAGCGCTGAGCCCTTAACTCCGGCCAGAGGCCTTGACCGGCTCTCCCACTCAGGAACCTGGGAACTAGGCTGACAGTTTTCTGTCTGCGCTTTGTCAAATAGCACCAGGTCTGAATATTTTGCTGTCTGATTTTGGATGCACTGCTGGGAACAACAGCTTGGCACCAAAGCTGGCTTCCATGTGAAGTGCCTTACACAGCCATGAGCAGCCGGCAGGGTCTGAGAGGCCCTGTTCCTCCCACAAGGCCACAATCCGGCTGCCCAGCAGGGTTCCCGAGAGGAGCATAGAAATGCATCCGTTTGTAAGAAATTTCCCATTGAACAGGGGTGAAGAGATCAGCTATCTTCCCTCCTAAACGGGCAGATAATATGATCCAGGCGCCTCTTTC